AAGGAAGGAAGGAAGGAAGAGAAAGAGAGGGGGAGGAAGGGAGGGAATGAAGGAAGGAAGGGAGATAAACAGAAAAAAGAGAAAAGGAAGAAGGGAAGAAGAAATGTGTGAAAGAAAGAGAATTCACCTGAACGTATTTTGATAGAGAGAGTTATATTAGTTGGTATTGAAAGCAATACAGATCAACTGGTGAATCAGGGAAAAGGAGCTGCTTGAGTAGAGGAGGATGTGAGGAAAGAGAAATACGGAACCCAGAATAATAGTGATTCTCACTCCTCACCAGACATGAAGCAGTATGTCAGGTGTGCAGATCATCAGTTTGCCAACACCCAGAGAAACCGCTGCCTGATGAAAACTGAGAGCTTCCTTGCTTATGAAGACCCTTTGGGCATGGCTCTGGTCTGCACGGCTCTCTGCTGCTCTGTACTAACAGCTGCTGTTCTTGGGGTGTTTATCAAGCACCAAGACACCCCTATTGTCAAGGCCAATAACCGGGCCCTCAGCTACATCCTGCTCATCTCCCTCACCTGCTACTTCCTCTGCTCCTTGCTCTTCCTTGACTGTCCCTACACAGCCACCTGCATCCTTCAGCACAGCACATTCGCAGTGGTCTTCACTGTGGCTGTCTCCACGGTCCTGGCCAAGACCATCAATGTGGTTCTGGCATTCACACTTACTGCTCCAAGGAGAAGCGTGAGACCGTGGCTGATGTCCAGGGCTCCTAACCTCATCATCCCCATCTTCTCCCTTATCCAAGTGACCCTCTGTGGCCTCTGGCTGGGAATCTCTCCTCCCTTTGTGGACACAGATGCAAACTCTGAACATGGCCATGTCATCATTCTGTGCAACATGGGCTCCCTCACTGCTTTCTACTGTGTCCTGGGATACCTGGGTGCCCTGGCCCTGGCCAGCTTCATGGCTTTTCTGGTCAGGAACCTGCCTGACACCTTCAATGAGGACAAGTTCCTGACCTTCAGCATGCTGGTGTTCTGCAGTGTGTTGCTCACCTTCCTGTTTGTCTACCACTGTACCAAGGGGAAGATCATGGTGGCCGTGGAGGTCTTCTCCATCTTGGCCTCCAGTGGAGGCCTCCTGAGCTGTATCTTTGTCCCCAACTGTTACATCCTCTTGATAAGACCTGAGAGAAATTCCCTGCACAGGTTTAGGTAAAGACCACCTGAAAGAAATAAATCTTAGAATGAACATAAATTTTCTATAGAATGCTTGGAGGTTCTGAGACAAATCTATACAATTTCGGCAGTCAAAAACCATTTTAACACATTCATTTTGCTGGTTATGTTAGAGTTAGAGCAAGATTCCAACTAGACTGTCTAAATTTGTATTTCCTCCTGGATATCTTTTGCTTCCCCAAATGTAATCTGCCTTTTATGCTATTAATCATCCTTTTGATGACAAATCTACTGTGATTCTTCCTTTCCATATATGCAGGCCATAACAGTGCTTGAGTATCACTATATTGCTCAGTTAGTTCACTGATATATGAACATTCATTTTGGTGAAAGTTTGATGCTTTGATTACAGTTACTTGAGTATATTTTCTGAGCTAGCTGTGTATTTCTGTTCAAATATTTGCTGTTCTGCAATATTACTGAGTGTATTTTCCTAGGAAATATCTCTCCCTCTCTCCATCTCCCCCTCTGTACCCCCCCTTCTCCTCCTCCTCCTCCTCCTCCTCCTCTTCCTCCTCCTCCTCCCCTTTCAGATTTTTAGATCAGGGTATTCAGCAGCACCAGTTTCCCATGGGAATCTCTATGAGTACTTTTTTCTGGAAAAAAGGGCCAGGGCATCAAGGTGACTTAAGATGAACCACTGGATGAATAGTTTGATTATTGGTCATTATTCCTCACTGAAAGTTGTGCATGATGGCCTGAGCTGAGCCTAGTCACCTCAGTCTCTAAGGATCCTCAATATTAATCGATAAATAGAAAAGGATCCCAAAAGAGGGGAAAAATACATTAGATCATGCTCAGACTCAATATGTGGCCATGTTCTTTAAATAGTACAAGAGAAGGAACAATTCAACCATTCAGAAGGCTCCTTGAAGAAATCAGAATCTGTTGCCTGCTTATTTGAATTTGAGGCTCCTTCACTTGCCATTTATCTTGTGTTTTTATGGCTTGTTCTATCCCACTTGGAATTGGCAACAGAGCAGTCAATAAAAAACCTAGAGGATAATTCTCAAAATGCTCTAGAAACACTACTGGCAATCATGCTGACAGAGTGCAAGGGAGTCTATAAGGGAAAAAAAATGAGAATCCAGAGGTGAAAGAAGTTAAAGAAGGGCCAGATGCTCTTAGTTGGACAGAGACAGGGGCTAAATGAGGAGTTCCTGAATTTTGCAGGGAGGTATAGCTCATCCTTGATGAGAAATAATGACTCTTAGGTGTGACTAACATCTGGCACAACTGAGCCGAGTCTTTCAAAGCTCTGTAGCCCCAAGAAGCAAGAGGGTTAAGAAGGTGAGTGGAATGCTTGGTATTTACTTTTTTTACTAATTCTTAAAAAATATTTATTACTTTTTGTCAACTTAAAAATGTTTATATTTATTATAAAGGAGATATTCAGGGGGGTTACAGTTACATAAGTCAGGTAAAGAATACATTTCTTTTTGGACAATGTCACCTCTTTCCTCACTCTTTCCCAGTTTGTCCCTCTTTTCCCACACACAAGTTGTATAGTTCTTTTTTCCACAAGTGATGCATTTGTTCACTTTTGGCAACAGGTAAGAGTAGAGGTTGGGCCTCTGTCTAAAACATTAATGAGAGGACCTTGCACTGGTCTTCGCCTGAGGGGCGCCTTCCCCAGTGATGACCAG